TCGGGATGATCGTAACCGATGGTTAGCTACACTGAGCGATATGGCTGGGTGTCGTAAACAATGGCGTTCGTGCATCTCAATTTCAATCTTAATCCACTGAATTCTTTTCGACTCCACTTTCAACTTTCCTTTCTTCTCCTATTCTTCATCCCAATGGGCAGTCAAAAGACAGCAACCAAAGCCGGCGCACGAAAGTGCATGGTTAATGGTTGTTCAAACTGAAATTGAGGTAGAAGTTATTTTCATTTTACTAACCACTTTGACCCATCAGCTTCTGTGATCTTTTTCAGGACTTCTCTTGAGTTGACGCGGCAGACGCCAGCGGATCCTATGTTGGTCGTGGCGAATTTGGATGTTTCACTTTCGTTCGATGGGTACCACGAACTGCTGATCCAATATCTTGGACGGATTTCGGGCTCCAATCCACAAACAGTTTGCTGCCCAATGCATCGCACGTTGAATTTGATCCCACTGATGACCTACTCTACCATGTTACAGTGTTCCTAGCTCATACCTATGCTTTGCCTCGAAACGGATGGAACAGCTGAGCCATGCAGACGATGATGAGTTAACCGATGCTGCGATTTAACTGTTGACGGCGGAGTCTAGGAATGAACCGAATGTAAATTAATGCGTGATCAGGTTGGACACCGGCGATTCAACAGGATCCACAATCTGGTACTGAACCACGCCAAAGGTAGCTTGTAGCTATTTGGCCAACTTGGATCAACTTATCTGTTAAACTAGAACTCTGTCGAAAGTTGACACCAGATAAGAACAACCGACCATCTGCGCAGAACAGAACCGTTGTATATTCGTGGGTGGACAGAATTAAAGGACCTCGTAGACAGGCTTCGGATGTGCTCAGTTTTCCAAGCCGCACATTAAAATCACCTGTCACCACAACGCTATCAGAGTTGTGGCTCAACTGGACAAGTTCGGTTGGTTTGTCCTGACACTCGTCCTTTCGTGCATTGGAACGACAGTTGGTGGACGCACATGGTGCGACAAAAACACCTTTTGGCGTTGGATTTCTTCCGAACGTTAAGTGAACCCTGCAGTTTTATCGCGCAAAAGGACTGTCGACAGGGATTCAGTCGACCACTGAAGCTTTGGCACTACTGTTGAATACAATAATTATTCCACGAAGACCTAGTGAATGGGATTTGTCATCGCCTGATAGGCGGAGGTAAAATGTGGCACACTTAGGTGGTATATACTACTAGGATCCTGAATTCGTGTCTCCGATACACCATAAACATCGATCAAATCCATTGTACGAATGAGACAAGCTTGTTAATCCTCTGGTTAGAGTCCCCAGGTTGAGAATATCCAGATTCAGAAAGGAACAGGGCTTACATAATGATACACTACTTACGACGGTATCTAGCTGAGTGGCAAAAGAGTTATCTGAGGGGACGTTCTCGATCCGAAAGTGGAGCAGAAGGGATTGGGGATAGGATAAGAGGAATTAAACGAAGACACGTAACCTTCTCCAGTTTATCCGGAATCCTCAGTCAAGGAATGCTATCCGGTGACATGTGTAAAACATGGATACCCTCGGGTTAAGCAGAGCTGAATGCTACCAGGCGCGTCCCCGGATTATGGATAGACGGATACCTTCACCGAAGAAGGCTAGCTGTGAATAATTTGCGGCATACCGAAACAAATAAACAGCGGCGGCACTATCAGGGTGTGGTGGGTTTCAGGCTGGTCACCTGGCTCCTGTTCAAAAGCCGTATAAGCTCAATGACGGTGTTGTGACAAAGGTCGATGTGACTGGTCTTTGGAAAGTGAAATCATTGACCATCTCACTTCCAAGGCGAGGGATTACTTCCTGCTGCCTTGCAGTTCGTACTTGGTTGTGAAAAAACTAGAGGTGCACCCTCGAGATAAAAATACGCCGAGTGATGCTGGGGACGTGTCTCGTAAGAAAACTCCCAAGGAACTTCATGATCATGATCATGTTTGGAGTCGGTTTATCCTTTCCAAGGAGCCAGCCACAGTGAAGAATATGTAAAACATGATCCTGCTAACGCAAAACACGGAGGCCAAGCGCTTACGTTCCTGTGTGACTGAAACTACCCAATAATCTTTGTCTTGCTGTAGCGGTACATGGATAGAGGAATCCCGATCTCTCAGAAAACCCCCAGTAACAAATGAAATGAAAATTACAGTGGAAGACAGCGGTTCCATTTGAATTCAGGAAGTGACAAGCAAAAAGAAACAGTGGTAATCTATTTGGTAATCACAGAGTAACAATGCCGAGTAGCCGTATTTTAGTATAGAAATCAGTCAGAAACTCAACTATACCTCCCGGGGTGTTAGGAATCTATTCGACACGAAACGAATCTGGATATTTCACTGACCGTATTTAGTAAGTACACTATGATTATTCCATTAAAAAAGTGAAAATATGAAGCAGCATCTAAGGCTGGAAGATCGCGTTCCTAAAGGAGTCCAAACAGATTTTAGTATTCACTGAGTAATTGAAGCTTCTGCTCCACACAGCAATAACCACATCCAAAAAGACAAGATCAAACCTGGTTCCTGGATCTGTCAGTATTACTAATGTTTATGGATTAACTTGAGGAAACTTGAAAATATCGAAGAACTGCCTTTCACTAACTTGCATTTCCAAAATTACTTAACAACTGAATACACTGAATAAGCGATAGATTTTATTCTAGACCAGAATGTTTACGTACCGCAAACTGATTTTTAAAGCCAAATTTTCTGGCTACCAATCTTACGCAAATGTAGGCGACGATTCAAGTCACGTGGCGTGATCGGATATATATGAGATAGGAAAACGCGATAAGCAACCATCAGAATGACAGAGCAAACGGATGTATAAACTCGAGGGTAGGAAGAGTGGCAATTACCTCAGCGACAAATCGGATCAGGGGATATCTATTTTCTTTCCAGTATTGCATGAGACGATCTGCTCGTGGATACTTATCACAGCTTAACTCCAAAGTGATTTCCATACATCCAGTGTGTAAATAGTTCCAGTCTTGCATTCCGCCAAACAGAGGGTACCATGCGTTCCCATTGGAAATTCCGTGAGAGAAAACCTTGGGATTGCAATGTGCTGAACCAGAATACATACGTTTGTGAGTCTGGAATCGAATGTTTAAAATGAAAAGGATATAACGCACCGAGAAAATACAAGTTACGAGAAATCAGTAAAACAAAACGAAAAACGCATGGTTAGGATGCAGGAAACAGGAAAAATGCTGAAACACGAAAAAAATATTCAAGACATCTCGCATAACTGTGAAACCAAAACAGTGGAAACCCAACAACAGAACACACCAGTCACAAGCGATTTTTATATTCTTTTTTTCGAACACGATAACAGGAATCATTTCGACGTACCACAATCGACGGAGATCTTTCACTGGTACAAAACGTGCGGTATAAGTACAAACATGCCAGATTCAGTATGAAAAAATCGCAATTCCGACCATCGTCTTCGATCTTAAATCATGTTCACGACAGCTGACGATATAAAACCATCTTGTCATACAAAACAGCCACAAAATGAAGAGAGCACCGTCGGGGTTTACTCTGTTGTAACCGAAAGGTGAGAGGTACCCGGATCTTCAAGTTTATTGGCAGAATAGACAAACCAAAATTCCTCAACAGATTAATTAATATTGCCCAGGATAGGCTAGAAGCCTTAATATCTGATTGGAAAACTGATCAAGGATAGTTAGCTCTCCGATTGGGTTTTCAACTCAAGGACACACTCAATGATCGAGTTTGAATGTGGCCATTCATCCTTTGGTGGTGCTACTTCAACCGCTTCCTCGTCTTTACCCACAGTAGCTTAGGTTTTTATTTTCATCACTGATGCGGTACTTCCTCTTTCCAATTCATAACTGTGGCTTTTTCCATACACGTTAATCCATGAATACTGAACAAACGCATCGAACAGTTTCTTCTACAAGGGGACGAGAACTTGCCAAACGGTACATTCTAAATGTTCTTTCATTCTACTAACTCTATCACATCCCACCTTTCTATTTACAATGTTTTTGTCCTGTGAATGCCATTGCAATTCTTATGCCCATCACCTACTACCGATTACGAGGTTTATTACTTGCAGTGATCTTATGCATTACAATACAAGCCTCAGTATATCGGAAATGGAAAAATTAGCTCCAATCGGTGTAACAAATAAACGCATAAGTGACAAACATCGTGATATTTTACGGGGATTTCGCAGCCCGTGTATTAGTTAATTACAGTGGGTAAGGGCACAGCAAGAGGCTATCTGGAAGAAAATGCTTGACAAAGTATTGAAACCGGTTCTCGTAGCTCAGGTGAACCGAATTCCATTTCGCATGGTCACCGAGCTTGGCAATTTATTTGCAAATTGGCAAGCTCGGCGAATATGCGAAAGAGAAAATGCTTGAGTCTCCTGAACAAACCAAGAGAAAGCTAACTAGATCTGGATGGCGTCGATCTAAGCCAGGGAGGAGGGCAGAGACAGAATGAACTCACCTGACTATAAACACCAGCAAGATGTTGAAAAGTTTCATCGTCTGGGGTAGCTGCATGATAGGCTGTTTCGTTAGAACTACCATCAAACGGATAGACAGCAACTAGTGCACCGCCGTGGATGCTGGCTGAGAGCACAAATGGATACTGTTCACTCCAATTCATCACAGCTATTGTTTCTGGTTCCTAAGAAAGTTGAGCACTGTTGAACACAAAAGGATTTTGTACCTTGAACTTCTCCCAAAGGGATTTCCTGAATTGGTCCGGAAAATCACGATTCAAATCAACATCGTGCTTGTTTGATCGACCTTCATCTCCGTCCTTGTCCCCTTTTAAAACATACGATGAGTACATGGTTATGTATGTGGCTAGGATTTATCAGGAAAAACAGCATTCTGTGTTCAACACAATGTGTACCAAATAAGTAAAAGAAACCATCCACAGATTATGAAACACCTGGATAATTCTCACCGTTCAGATTGATGTAAAAATCGAACAGCAAAATTATTTTGTATTAATTAGCTGAAAAAGTTCTGAGAAAACCTTCGCAAAAAAATGCAACATTGGGTGTATATTGTAAAATGTGAGTAAATTTATCGTATCAAAATCAGCCTGGAGCTCACATGAAACGATTCACCAGATCTAAACGTGCCACGGGGGACCTTCCTGTGGCCGATATTGGACGCAGCTTGAGCGAATTGCTATCGGCCACCGTTGACAAGACTGTATCATTGATATCAAAGATTCAAAGATTTATTATGGGAATAACTTACAAGCTCATGCTTTTCTGGTCC